TAACGAGAAATTATATTGGCGATGTTGTTTTGATAGCATTAAGTTATTGGTGCGATGTACTGTGATGTCATGATAAGCGCATCATTCTGCGGTAGCCCCACATTTCCAAAGCCAATATGCAGTAAGAATCTAATTTTTAATTATTCCAAGTTTCCGAAGCGAATATTTATAGTGTCTTTCCATATCTTAACGGGTTTTGCCGTAGCTGATAGATGATATATAGAACAAAAATTAAATTATTAAAAGTCTGTGGAAATTGCCAAATATTTCTAAAGAGAAATTTCATTCAAGAACTAAACGTAGTAAACAGTACAGAATTTCGATCGTTTTTAAAATTCAGTCTAGTATGTACATCTTAAATACGACCCTGTTTTATATGATTAGTGTAGAAAGTTAACAAATAAAGCATAATAAAAGTTATAAACAATATGCGTTCAATATTATTTACCTATCAGTAATGTTAGTTGCATACCTGAACAAAAATATAATTAGGATCAAAATTTGAAGTGTCCAAAACCTTACTCGAAATATCGAAAAGATTAGATATGTTCTGTTCATCGAACCTAGCATGGGTAGGATTTGGAAAACTTAGTTGGGTACTTAAGAACCGCAAAATACCCCAATACTTAAGGAGCAAAGTGTTCAACCAACGTATCCTTCCTATCATGACATACCTATGGATGTCAAACCTGGACCCTAACCAAGGCAAACATGAATAAACTAGCTACAACAAAAAGAACAATGGAAAGAGCAATAGTAGGTATACGACTGTCAGATAAAAAGGGGAATGACTGGGTAAGATCAAAAACAAAAGTCGAGGACATAACAACAAAAATTGCCAAACTTGAATGGAGCTTCGCGGATCACACTGCCAGACAAAAAGACCAACGTTGGAATACTACAATACAACATTGGAGACCTTACGAAAGTAAACGACCAAGAGGAAGACCACAGATGAGTTGGGTTGATGACATTAAAAGAATAGCCGGAAAAAATTGGAAATATGTTGCTCAGGATAGAGACCGATGGAAGAAGTTGGGAGAGGCCTATGTCCAAACATGGACGATAGAAGGCTAAGAAGAAGAAGAAGAAGAAGAAGTTCACCGAACCAAGTCCTAACTGTCTAGGAAATTTTGTAATTAATTATTTGCTACGTTGGACAAACTTTGACTTGAACTGGAAGTAGCTAGAACTTGTTATATAACCAGGTGATTTGTGATATAACCTGATCATCTTCTTCTTCCCATACCATATTTGTGAACGGTTCTAGATCTTTTGCCACATGGAGTAATCGTCGGTGTAACGCTGGAAATTAAAAATACGCTTTAAGATTTTTTGCATAAAACAGCGTTTTTTGTTACAAATTAAACGAAGAATTCAAAAATGATTTTTAATTTGAAATATATCAGTGGCGTATCATTTTTGTCTTTAAATAAATAAGACCATAACCGCAAATATCGGGGAACACCGCATTTACTATTCTGAAACAGATAACGGCAAACATAGGTGTCGGTATTCTATTTACAAAAGAAGTGGCAAAATATGTTGACAACTTTATCCCAATCTCAACAAGAGTGATGCTTATATAACTAAAAGCAAGATCAATCGACATCATCAATATAATTCAAATGTATGCACCTACAACAAAAAGAAGAGAAAAACAGATAGAAGAACTATATCATAGCATTAATCAAGTCGTGAAAAGGTTGAAAAAGCAAGACCTAACAATTGTCATAGGTGACTTCAACGCCAAAGTTGGGGCCAGCAAAACATCTGCAGTTGGACCATTTGGCCTAGAAAACCGGAACGATCGGCGAGATACATTGGAGATTTTTGCGGAAGCAAATCAATTAGTAATAATGAACACCTGGTTTAAGCTACACACAAGGAAACTGTACACCTAGAAATCTGCATAGGATTCTGTGTGAAGTATTGTAAGAAATCAGATTGAATGCCTGCTAGTAAATAAGAGGTATAGAAAGAGCTGTACGTCTGTCAAAACATACTCGGGGGCAGATATAAATTCTGATCATGTACCAGTTGTAGGTAATTTCAAAGTCAAAATAAAGAAGGTTACAAGTACAAGTAAGTCGATGAAGAAGTATGATGTTAGAAAACTGAAAGAATGATAATGAGAAATCAAGGCAGATACGAGCTACTCCAATGCATTGAAGGTAAAATTGAAGGAAAAATGGGCCCAGGACGAAGAATATCCTGGCTTGCTAACCTAAGAGCATGATATAGGAAGACCTCAACACAGCTATTTCGTATAACATCCAACAAAGTCATCATAGTGTGTCATCATCCAAACTTCTTGTTTGGCATAATGAGACCATGCCTTGTGAATGGTCTCAAGGCGTGATATGCCCGTTACATAAAAAAGGTGACCAGCTCCAGTGTGACAACTATAGAGGTATAACCCTGTTAACAACTGCTTACAAAATACTAGCAAATATTCTCTACGAAAGGTTGCAAGTTTACACAGTGAGCATAGTTGGTAAATATCAAGTTGGATTCACTCCAGAAAAATCAACAATTGACCAGATTCATTCAATAAGACAGATTCTCGAGAAAACATTAGAATTCAATATTGAAACCCATCACCTATTCGTCGACTTCAAGGCCGCATACGACAGTGTCAAGAGAACAGTGCTATACCAATCAATGCATGAGTTTGGTATACCAGAGAAACTTATCCGACTAACAAGAATGACAATGTCTAACTTAGAAGCCACTGTTAAAATACAGGGAGAGAGTTCTAGATCCTTTGAGATAAAGGATGGACTCAGACATGGAGATGCTCTGGCTTGCCTCCTATTTAATATTGCCTTAGAAAAGGCAGTCCGAGATACACGAATTAGGGATGGCGGTACTATTTACAATAGATCGATACAAGTCTTAGCATATGCTGATGACATTGACATAGTAGGGCGTAGCAAGCGAGATGTTGAGCAATATCTCCTAGAATTGGAAACAGCGGCGAAACAGGTCGGTCTAGTCATCAACGAAGACAAAACCAAGTACATGTTGGTTACAAAGGATCCGATAGCAAATGAGGAACGAGAAACAGTCTTTGGAAGTCATACCTTTGGACGTGTTGACAACTTCACATACCTTGGGTCGCTATTGACTGCTACCAATAAAACAAGCGAAGAAATCAAAAGACGAATAAATCTTACAAATAGGGCATACTATGGACTCCAAAAGCATTTCCACTCAAGAAACATTCAAAGAAGAACTAAAATTATTATATACAAAACATTGCTGAGGCCGGTCCTCACATATGGAGCAGAAACATGGACACTAACGCAGAAAGATGAAAGACTTTTGGGAATATTTGAGCGTAAAATACTCCGCAAAATATTTGGAGCTGTAAACGACCAAGGGCAGTGGCGCAGAAGATATAATTTTGAATTGTATCAGCTCTTTGATGAGCCAGATGTCATAACGTTCATTAAAACACAGCAACTTAGATGGGCTGGACACATAATACGAATGCCAGAAAATACCATTGCTAAAAAGCTAACCACAGGAACACCTGTAGGAAAAAGAAGTAAAGGCCGACCGCGAATTAGGTGGTTGGATGGAGTAGAAACCGACTTACGAATATTAAAAGTCAGAAGATGGCAACATGTTGCCAAAAACCGAACAGAATGGCGACGAATCTTAGAGCAGGCCAAGATCCACAGAGGATTGTCGAGCCAAAGATGATGATGATGAAAGTCATCATAGCCAGAATTATCGTCAAAGTTCGGAACGGACAGGCACCCTAAGAAGAAGAACTTAGAAACAATTGATTTCTGAGTCTTGGGACAATGTGAGCTTTTGATCTGCATGACCAAAGCTATCTCTCTGCAAAATTTCAGTCAATTTAACTGAAATCAGTTTTACATAAGAAAAGTGCCGGGGTCCTTTCAGACAACAAAATTACTGTTTTCTTTTGATACACAACATCCTATTACTTATCCATGGGTAATACTAGTTCAAACTTTAAGAAAGTATACATATGATCTGTATTACTGGTTCTATACTGTTCAGGTGCAGGAATAATACTTTTGAAGATAATTAGAAAATATGATTTTTCAGATACATTTGCAAATATTTGAAATTTTTATATATTCTATAATATGTACTTTTATATATTAAACAATAATACCGAATTCAGAATGCACGTCTATCTAACATTTTTATATGGTTTGTGCTTAGGGGACCGACATTGGAGACAGCGTGACGCAATGTTGCCAAAAATTAATTATTTTATCAAAGAATGCAATCGACGACATTCTTATAGTCCGCATATTTTTTTAAAGATGGAGTATGTTAATTATTTTCCTCTTAAGAGAATATAATTATATGGTAAACGCCAAAACGTCGTCATAAAATAAAAAATTTCAGTTATATATATTTTTTAAATTGCATAAAATGAAATAGGTAGTAATTACAGTTTTCGCGAATTTATATACAACTTTCTTAGACACTTGTTTTTTTTTAATTTCATTATAGATTTCTTCCTATAGTAAAAGACATAAGCTTTGGTTATTATGTCCAATGACCTACCTATTATAGTCACTACACCATAAAGTGTATCAAATAAAATAGTGATACACTTCATCTATTTTTTATTAAATAGTATTTCCTGTCTTTAGATTAGGATATAAACGAGGGAGTTTTATCAAAATTAAGGCTTTATTTTCTAATCATCGATGAATTAAATAACGCAAAGTTTCATAAATAGGCGAGGGGTGGACATTTTTTTTAATATTCTATCTAAATCATGATATCATGTCTATAAATGTTTCATTTAAATGTGAAACTTCTAAATCGAATAAAAATCTATAATCAGTACTTTTCAAATGAGAAACTTATTAAATAATATAGATATAATTTTCTTATTCTTATTCATTTATGTATCGACTTTTCGACTTATTTGGGTGACGTTAGTCGTATTGATTCCGCTGCATTGTAAAATCTGACATCGTTGTAAAAAGCGTCACAAAGCAAAAGAACATGTCGGACCAGACTGTTCACAGCTGAAATTTGTCGCGCAGTAAGAAGTTCGTTTGTTGTTAAACGTGTATGTAAAATATATAAAATCATACAAAATGAACGGTGAAGGTGGTGACGATAATTGGTTAACGGGTTGGGAACAACAGTGTGCAGATTCCTTAAGTGAACAACCAAATTTTGAACAGAACTTGATAACAGAATCCAGTAATTATCAAACTAGAATATGGTCTTCCTTTCAAGATTCTGCAACAGCCGTGGCACAGCTATATCGAGGTAGGTGTAATATTTAAAACTAGAAATTTAAGGGTTATTCATGGGCGTTTTGAAAATCTTTTTCCGACATTTTGCGTTTTGTTGACATTCTGGTGTGGGAGCTTACTTGGCTTTCAACACACACCATCAATAAGAGTGCATTTTTAGCAGATATTAAATGATCTCTTTCTTTTGTAACCAAGGAAATATACACGAGATATTTTAATGAATTATGCTTAAATAACATTGGACCATGGCAAATTCAGAATTTATAATATTGGTCGGAATTTGACCTTGTAAAATACACAGCAAAGGAAGTTCAACTATTTTAGATATTACGATTATGAGTTTATGCCACAAATTAAATAATTATAACAGAATAACAAAGTACAATTATGATTTGACCAAAAAGAACTACAATACAATCAAGTACAATAATAGAAGATATTCAACAGCAAGTGAAATTGAATTTCCTAAGTAACTAAGGTTTCTGGCAAATTTTTTCATTACCATAGAGAAAAGACAGTTAAATACTGGGCATATTTTACTTAAAATGTATAAAAGATTTATAACATTTAATAATACCTTAGCAATCTTTTCAAAAAATGCACAATCTGATGAAAAACCAGTAGAAATTGAAGTCATATAGTAAGTACTTACCTCCTGATGAAAAAATTCATGAGGATGGATAATACAATTGATAACAAATACAAACACCCTCAGGTCAGGTTAAAACAACAAATGAACTGGCAAACATGTGTGTTGTAGTTTAACTTAATAATTTCTGTAATTAGTATGAATTAATAAACTATTGTATGATTATCAAAATGCAGATGGCCAAGAAAGGAGAATCTGGGGATCCATATCATATTACCTGATAATACTATTAACTTGAAGTATCATACTTAAAAAAAAAGAGTGTTGACCTATAGGAAGCTCAAGGGACCATAAAATTCTTGTTATAAAACAGAGGGTAAAATTACTTTGTTTTATTCATACATCATCTATTAGTTTGGCTGTATTCTCAATGCAAAAAGATATTTATCAAAGTTAATATACATTTGATAATGATTTGTTAAATCTACTAAATGTAAATAAAAAAGATGACACTTGGTTAAAAAGCTTAACAAAAGGTATGTTTTAAATGAGAAAAAAGAAATTGAAATAATCTTCTATACTAAAGACAAAGATATAGTTGATTACCTATAAAGATTACAACAACTTCATACAAGGCATCGAGTTAGAATCTATGGAGAAGCTATGAACATATTAACGTATGTATTAAAAACGGAGTAGGCAGGAATGGCTAACGATAATACCAATATGGCGGTGACATCAGGGCAGACTCAATAATATTAAAACTACTATACAAATATGACTAGTTATTTAGAAGATTTAATCATAATCTAAAAAAGTGTAATACATTTAATAAACTATGATTTATTTATCCCGCGGTTAACACTAAAAACACAATATATTATACATATTGTGTAGTACTATACATATTATATTATAGTGGAAGTAAGACCATCAACTTGTAAAATTTAAGGACTGTATCATTTAACATTAGCTGCAGGTAAAATAAGAATTATCGAATCTGTTGGATAGTGTTATTGTATGTTGAAGAAGATAAGAAAAGAACCTTAAGTAAAGGAAAAGTGGAGAAGTCAGTAGTATTATGGTAAAAGTTGATATGTACACCCAGCTAAATTTTCAGGAAAAATATTTTAAGGATGAAAGGTATTAGAAAATCAATGAAATTTCTGAATATATTAGCAGTTGTATTACTATATTATTAAACAACACACTGATAAAAGGAACACATTTTTATAAAATTCAGATATATAGGCTGTCATATTACCATAGAAGTAGTACAAGTAGAACTGAAATTATCGCTGTAGTTAGAGTGGAATAGATTAAATGGAAGGAGCTAAGTGTTTTATTATGATACATATGAATAAAGCTGAAACACAATTTCTATAAGTTCATCCTAAGGCCTGCTACTATCTAAAGCAGTATATGGTGCAGCTAAAAAGAAAGAAGAATGACAAATACAGAAAGCATGCTTAGATGAATGAGTGGAGTGATAAAAACGCCAAAATTAACAATGAATTTATTTTCGGAAGTCTATGTGTGATACCAATTGATACCAAAATAAAACAGCATATGTTAAGATGGTTATGGAAACCTTAAATGCCAAAATGATAAACATTAATACAAAGAATGGCTGAGTCTTAAGCTTCTGAAAGGAGTAGGAGCGTAATACCTAAAAATACCTAATAAGTGATCAACAGGAGATGTCTGAAAGGAGATCCATATTAATAGAAGAGAGAAACCAAATGGAATACATATTAGTAAAATAAGATACAGATTAAATTATTAGCAAATTAATAGATAGGCTTTTTATGGCTGAGAAATATTATAAAAAAAAAAGATCTAAACAAGTACCTAGTGTTACAGAAAGAATACATTATTATGTAATAATAATAATAGTCTCCCGTTTTATACCGCACGCGGCTTTGGGAGTATAGCAGGGTAGTCTGCTATATCTAGGGCCTACGGTATACAAGGAAGGTAACATGGCCAGTGCTACGCTTCAACCGCCTATTATTTCCCCTGGTTTTACCCAAGGTACTCATTTTATTCAGGCTGAGTCGACCTGGGGCCTATAGACATTTTTAAAAATGCCTAGTTGTTCTTGCCGGCGGTAGGATTCGAACTCACGACCACCGGCATGCGAGGCAAGCACACTACCGCTTGCGCTACGCAGGCCCATCATTATTATGTACTTGACTGATATGATTAATTGATATTCATTTTCTCGTGCCTTCAATCTTTTGTAGACTTTTTTATCAAAAAGGAAAGTGACTAAAAGTTGTAAGCAGAATAAGTAAATGAAAACAATGTGGTTGTAGATCAAGCACTGACTTAATAGTTCAAAGTTATTTTTTTTACAATTTGGTTTTTTAAAATATGTTCTGAGGAAAATACCAAATACATTGTAATGTAAAACCATATTTATTATTGTTTTTATTTCAAAATATGATGTTATTAAAAATGATAGAGTTTTGAAGAAAAAATCTAAATAATAAGATTGTTGTCTTTTAGTTTTGCATATAGCGCTAAAGGAGATATATAGACTTAAAGTACTTTAAGTACTTATATGTGGGACATATTATACTAATATGTCCCACCAAGATCGATACACTTTTTTATATGTCACAATGAAACTCTCGATTTATTTTAACAAAAGATTAAGGTTACATTTGTGTAGGAATGTTTTATTGGTGTCACCCTCTAGCGGCTATAAGCAAAACTAAAAAGAAAAACCCGTACAGAATTTACTGTAACATTCATGTGATAATATTTAAAAAAATTGTGATTGGATTGTGCTTGCCATGTCATTGATATTAAAATAATAGATAATATGATTAAATCTCACATATATTCTCAAATATGGCCCATTGCTAATTTGAATCATCACTGGTTAAATTTTGTGCAGAATTGATTTATTCCTGACAATTTAACTGCATACTTAATTTTTTTAAATACAAGGTTATGCAATTGAACTGTTACCAACTTCACATCGATATATCTGGCAAATAGATAATGACAGCTACATCAAAGTTGGCCTAATAACACTTCAGAATATTGTTTATAAGCCATCAAAAGCATTTGCATTTAAGTTTTATACATACAACAAAAGTTATTCGCAATGGAATTTAAATGTAATAGTGTGATTGTGTTATATTTGGCAGGAAAATCACAACCAGCTATTGTTCGTCAGCTCAAACACCTCAAAGTGAACAAAATGTTTGTGTATCGCACCATAACTCGTTATAATGATACTGGTAGCGTTGCCAAACGCTATGGTGGTGGACAAAAAAAAAATGACCTGAAATGGTTCGGAAAGTGAAGGCTCAACTTGAGCGAAATCCACACAGTAGTGGTAATCAAATGGCCCAAGAACTGAAAATCTCCCAGTGAAGCATAAAACGAATATTAAAAAGGGAACTCAAGTTCAAGCCTTACAAGTTCCAAAAACCACACAATCTTACACCAAAGCAAAAAAAGTTCGGCTTGAAAGAGCAAATGAGTTGTTACGCCTGCACGAACGTGGCGAATTTCTGTACATAGTGTTCTCTGATGAGAAAAATTTCCCTATTGAGCAGTTCATAAACTCTGAAAATGAACATATTTACTTGACCGAATGCACCTATGAAAGTTTGAGCTTACGAAAGGCCACCCGAATTAATTTTCCATCTTAATCTCAAGAATAATAAGCCTGATTTCTTCCATTCTAAATTCAAGTGTATTTTCCTTACTCCATTAGGAACATGTTTTAAAACTAGAACTTTTTCTTCAAGAGCTATCACAGACAAGTGAATGGACTGACAATGACACAATTTCAATAAGAACCTATTAAAACCTTAGTAAAGATCGTTGATAATTCAGTCTTTTGAAGTAGTTGAAATGTATATATTTTTGAAAATGAAAAAAATTGAGTATCATACAGTGTCAAAATTCTTTCTGGCCGTCAAGTTTAAACAAGGCAGTGAAACATATTTGGATAAAAGACATTCAAAAACTGCAACAGAAAATCATTGATAAAAAGCATGATATGGTTTTGGAAGATCAATGTATAAAGATATCTAAATTGCTAATGCACTAAGGATGTCAAACACTATGAATTGAACATGAAAAGCAAGAGTTCTAAATTAGTGGGAGAATATTTTAGAGGTTTACTAGAATTGAAGAGAATCATGTATTGGCTTCGTTTGATCACCATAATTTAGCTTGTCTTGTATAAGCAAACATGAGAATAATTTTGTGTATTGGATTTGTTTTATTTTATAGTTTTATTTTAGATATCTTTTAGTTTATCTCTTGTATGTAAGTTCCGGGTTATCTCTATATACAATACAGCAGTAATCTGCGAGCATTGCTTCATTACAACAAGCTTGGTACCTTTTTTTTGTTTACTGAAAGGTCCTGATGGAATATTTTTACAACTAGGTGGGAAAAGTTAAGGTGGGAATCAAGAAAATGAATTTTGTGAGACAAATTACATCTGGGTTGTTGGAATTACTTTATTAATTAAACAGTAATACTTTAACTTATTTAGGTTAGTTAACATATCTTTTGTTGCCTACAAATCCATGAATTAGTCCCTTTAAAACTACCTTCACCTACAAATTACCTTCTTTACCTTTAACTTCACTTAATGAAGGAAATTGGTCTCTTGTATTTAATGGTCTGTCCTATCATTTTTTTAACATAATTTTTCATCAAACCCAGCTTAATATGTATGAGTGCAAATAAAATATCTTTTGTACACACACGAGGCAAAGCAATGACATTCTTTTCATTAGGATTAAGGTTTTTTGCAGGTCTGCTTTTATATAATGATATTCCTTATCTCTTTGCCGTCCCACATACATGAAAATAGCAGTTTTTTGTGTAGAACTTCATTCGTAAGAGCACAGCTGTAACTTTCAGATTACCATAGATTTTCTACTTGTGTTCATCATATTTGATTGAGTCGAGGAGTGTTTTCAAGTTTGTGTAATCTCCTTCATGTGAGCTCCTTATCCAGTAGGAGTAGAAGCGAGATGGTTTCCATTGTGAAATAATACAGCTTTTAAACTAAGTTTACATGAGGAGTACATCAATAGCCTCCATTCAGTTGGATCAAGTTCCAAATGTAGATATCTCATTAAATCAATAACTTCTTTAACCAAAATTATCTTTTTTCTTAAAAGAAGACAGTAGATGACACTGCAATGTCTGTAATGCGATACCCTGATATGATATTGAAGAAGATTCCATTCCTCTTGTTACAAGTCAAGATTGTAGATGTAGATACTTGATTAGAGTAGAGTAGAGGAAATTTTTAGTTGCATAATTGAGCAAATAATGTCACATTATTAATCACAGATTAAAAAAATATATATTAACATTACAGATTATAATATATTAACATTACAAATTAAATATGCTCCAGGCAGGCCAGGCACTCCACCACAGTATAGGGCTCAATGTTAACCAGCTGTTGAAAAAGATCTCTTTTAAAAGCTCTGCAGTTTGTTTCCCATTGAATGTCAGATGGTAGACTATTGTAAAATTTAGCACACACATACAAAGGTCTTCTCTGTTAGAGACAATCTGTGAAGTGGGAAATTCAAATTAAGGCTTCTTGTATTATATTCATGATTTGTAAGCATGTGATAAAACAAAGTACAATTTTTAAAGAGGAACATAATACATTCAAATATGTAGATGCCTGAGAAAGTGTATTGAGTGATTTGAATCGGCCTCTATAGGATTCTCTCGCCTTTAATCCTAAGATCATCCGGACTGCCTTTTTTGGGGCTATAAAGACAGTTGAGCTATCCATTGCAACCCCAGAAAATTACTCCACATCACATAGCAGAATAAAAGTTTGCTTAATATACTGATAGCAAATTCACCTGGTCTAGATAGCTCTTCAATAATGTCAATTCACTTAAAAGCTATTTAACTCAATTGCATTTATTTGATTCTTCTTCCATAATACCTTCTGCAACAAAATCTTAATTTTTTTATACAAAATCATAATTTTGGAACGGATTAAGAACTGGTAGGCTATATGAATGTGGAATAGTTCGAATAGTGGATGGAATATTCTCATATTGAACTGCCCTTCTTTTTTTCATTCCTAATTCTGCTTTAATGGTTGGAGCCAAACAGAAGTACTAGGTATCAGTGTATGGTTTTAGGTTTTTGTATTTTTTTTTATTTTTCAGACATTGTTGTAATTTAACTGAAATAATGGTGATTACAACAGTGGTTCAATTAAATCTCTGTGATAAATTTTATTGCTTCATTAATTTTTTTTTATTTAATTAATGGATTTGGATAACTTGATCCATTCAGCCACGATAATGTATTTGGCTATTTGAATTTGTTAATGATGTATTGACCTATTGCATTTGTTAACAAAATAGTACTACGCATAGAGGTAAATTAAAAATATAATGTAAACATCAGTATCACAAGAATCAGTAGATTGGTAAAAAACCATACGTTCATTTGTTCCATTCAATGCCCTAATCAACTTAAAGTGAATATTTAGGACCCACAAGGGATTACATTATATAGGAATACTTTTCACGCTAAGGTGCCTTTCATAGCGACTTTATTACAACACAAGACAGGCAACGGCTAGGAGGAAACTATAGAACATAATGATAGATAGAGGGAGCAAAGCTAGATTTATACATTCACATTACATATTCCATCCTAAATTTTTCCTTTAGGCCTTTTTAAATATTCCCAAAAAATTTGGTTAAACCTAATATTATGATGAGAGATAGATAAAATGGAAGATTGACACTGAGGAAGAGGTATTTGTTCTTTTATCAGATTTTCCAATAGATACTTAATAGCAGCCTCATTATATATGCACCCGAACATCCAATGATTGATATCGTCAGTGTTACAATTACAATCACAAAGTTCAGTTTCACTTAAATTAAATCTATGAAGATGGGCTTTCACAGTAGCATGATTAACAAGGCATCTAACAAACATTGAATGACTTCTTGCAGCAAAAGATGCAGTAGGTAAAACAGGGTGAATTTTTGTGTAAAGGTTGTTACTTCTGTTACAAAAAGCATTCCATTCAATTTCCCAGTTTTTCTTTTAATTATTGTTTACGCAGCGAGACTAAATCACTTCTATTGAGCCAGCTAATTTCTAATCCGTTTAAAGCCGCTTCTTTAGCAAAATAATCTGCTTTGGTGTTAATCGAGGTACCAGCATGTCCTTTTACCAAAATGATAGAGACTGAATTTTATAGAGACCTTTTATAGAGAATTTTATATAATTTTAAGAAGACATTAATTTTATTTGATATCATTTGCCACTTAGACAATTTTCTTATACCTTGTTTTTGTAACATCCATATTTTTTTTACAGATAGGTACTCAGGGGAACCAACAGCTATTTGGGTACAATTTCAAACGGCAGCAGGAACTGTTACTTCCTTATACAGAGGTATGATTTATATAATATATTTTTTATACTTTGATACCTTAAGTCAATTTAATAGATAAATAGTGTTTTTCACTTGGAAAAAATAATTGTAAAATATTATTTATGTAATTTTATTGCAAGAAACTTACATTCTTGCATAAAGATGCTTTTATTCTTTTTTTTTAATCTTTATTTCATTTTTTCGACATATTTTATTGTCATAAATTAAAAATTTTCTTAATTTTATCATCAATATTTTATTTAGAAATGATATATACCTTCAATCAAAGTATATTCCATTATGTACACAAAGAAACACGTAAATAAATGTATAATTTCTTCACCGTGAGTCGTTTAAACTATTGTTAAAACACTTTCGTTGATGTTATTCAAATAATTTGTTTGTTTTGTTTAGAATCAAGTGAAAGCTTGAGAAAAACGTCCGAAGTGGCGAAACAAAGCGGTTACCAAAAAAGAAACAATGAAATATTCAACTGGGCGAAGAGGAAAAGGCGTCTGATACGGAGGGAAGATCTCTTGGCATATCTGGCTGGTAAACATCCCCCTCCGCCCAGTAGACAGAGTCACCATCATCATTCACATCACAGGTTAGTAATCTAATAAAACATTATGTTCTGAAGCTATTTTCTTGTGGCATTTTAAAGTAATTACTATTTAAATGGAAATAAGCCATAGTAAAAGTTAAAGTAAGTTTATTGAAGTTTCAATTTCCACGTCGGAAATTGTTCTCAAAATACAAAAGTTAGTAAATGTACTAAAAATTATGTTATTTTTAATTTTTAAATGTAAAAGATCCTACTTTTCCGTTTCCACTATCTACACACAACGCAAAAGTCTAGGGATATTTTTATAAATAGACGTATTTTGTTTATCCGTAATTAGTTAAGCAATCCGTAATTGGAGCAAAAAAGAAATATATTGCAAATACCCGTGTTTCACATACCACCATAAAATGTCAAAAAATACGAAATATAAACTTAAATTAAAGTATGGCTACCACGTTGGTTTATCACAGCCCTACATCTACTGTACCTGCTCCGAATCACATTGTTAATGTCTGCTTGAGGTAGTTGTGTCCATTGTTCTCTCAGAAGCTCTCTTAATTGAAACTCATTGTAGATACTGCCCATATGTATATATGAGTAATTCTTCGTTGGAGCATGTCTCATACATGCTCAATGGGATTCAAGTCCGGTGATTGTGCTGGCCACGGCAATACATCAATACCCTCGTTATTCAACCAGTTTTTTGCAGTATGCGCAACATGTGGTCTAGCGTTATCATGCATAAAGAAAAAACTTTCTCCAACAGCAGCTGTAAAAGGGCGCACAACAGGTTGAAGAATAGTGTCCAAATATTGTGAAAAAGCCACGAGGGAAAATGAGGTCAGTTCTTCCGTCAATTATGATTCCGCCCAATACCATTAATGTACCACCTCTGTATGCCTGCACTTCTTGAAGATGTCGTAATCGTTTTTCATTTCCTAGTCGTCTCCAAACTCTTGTCCGACGTGAATCTGGATGAAATCCATATATAGACTCGTCACTAAACAAAACTGTGGCCCAGTCATTGTCAGTCCAATTCTGAAACTCTTGACACCCGGTTAATCTTGAGCGTGATTGCCTCTAGATCGAGGTGGACATCTCAGTGGTCGCCGACTACGAAAATTGGCTTCATGGAGACGATTCCTCACAGTACTGCTGCTATTTGTTACATTATATGCAAGCTGTAATTCTTTAACCAGCTCGGGTGCTGTGATTGTTGGCTGTCTTCTGGCATTTAAAATTAAATATCGGTCTTAAGTGACGGTTGTAGAGCAACCACGTCCTGGATGTTGCTCGGATTTTTTTTACTTAACCTTTTTAACTTAAAAAGGGATAATTCTCGGGAGTTGGCTGTATACCATTTAGTTAAAAAATTCGAACATCGAAATAAAACACTTCAGTTAAATTAAATTAAAATTAAATTTAAAATTACAAATGGATTAAAAGTTCAGACCGTTTTCGGAATAGTCAGTCCATATCCAGTGAACCTAAAAGCAAGTAATTCCACTAAATTAATAAAAACGTAAGGTATAATTTTGACTGTCATGCAAAGATTTTGTTTGGGTTACTTACTTTTATAGTACTTGCGTAAATAACCGCAAAACCAATTTTTTTGTTTACATTGATAAAACCATACTTAAAAGTATTAAATTATACGGCAGTATGCCGATGATATTGGATTACCAACAGGGAACAGAAGTCCCTACTCGAAAAAATCTTATTTCTACATCCAAACTGGCGGGATGGACGAATCCAACTAACCTGAGATGCCGGAAGTAATATTTAACTGTTTTCAATGAAAATGACATTCGGAACAGGATTGATAGTTGGCTTTTTTAAAAAGTAAGCCAGGTCAAGGGCCCATATGTTGAACTCTATATAAAATTATATTAGATTAGTTTATTAAAATTAAAAAGGTCATGAATGTGTTGCTTGTGTGAGTCCATTTCAAATAGGTAAAGAAATAATAAATAAGACTTACTCACAATCAATTTAATTTAACTATCAGACGACCGGTTTCGCTTTCTACAATATGCAAAGCATCCTCAGGTCTCGATACAAAGTTAAACAAATGATGCCGGTACTCTATTAATTGATGGATGGTAGAACATGGTTGAAACTACTATATATTGTTGAATGGAGAACTCAATTCTATTATTGCAGTTGTTTGACAGTAAACGGGAAGTTCTTGAGATAGATTTGATCCAATGAAGAAGAAATATGTGTGTGATTGTTTGTTAAATGAAAGTAATGTAATATATCATTGTTAAATAAAACCGGTCGTCAGATAGTTAAATTAAATTGATTGTGAGTAAGTCTTATTTATTATTTCTTTACCTAATAAAAAGGTTATTTAAATGTGATGAAAAAGTGGGTTCTAAGATTATTGATGCAAAGAGAAAGTTAATAATTGCAAGGGTCATAAGATAAAATTTGATAGTGATAGATTGGAGATTTTTGTGGAAGAAAATCAATTTTTTAATAATGAACACCTGGTTTAAGCTACACCCAAGGAAATTGTACACCTGGAAATCTCCACAGAATTCTATGGGAAGGATTGTAAGAAATCAGATTGATTACATGCTAGTAAATAAGAGGTATAGGAACAGCTGTACATATGTCAAAACATACCCGGGGCTGTACATCTGTCAAAATATAAATTCCGATCATGTACCAGTTTACATGAGTCAGTCAGAATCAAGAAGGTCACAAGTAAGTCGATGAAGAAGTATGATTAGAATATAGTATTAGAAAACTGAAAGATCCCAATGTTTGACTTAAGATGAGTGAAAACCTCATTACAAAGGTGCACTCAGTGCTTATGTACGGAGTATAAATGTGAACATTGAAGGCTGAAACTCTATCAAAACTTTAGCCTTTTGAGCTATGGTTATACAGAAGGATCCTGAAGATACCATGGACAGACAAAGTCACCAATGAAGAAGTACTACTGAGGATGAACACAACCGCGGATTTGGTCAACATCGTGAAGGGTTGTAAGCTGCAGTACTTGGGACATATAATGAGAAATCAAGGCTAGCAAAAAGATATGAACTAACCCAATGCATTTTGCAAGGCAAAAATGAAGGAAAAAGGGCCTAGGACGAAGAAGAATATCCTGGCTTGCTAACCTGAGAGCATAGTGTAGAAAGACCTCAACACAGCTATTCCGTATAGTAACCAATAAAGTCATCATCTCCAGAATGATTGCCAACATTCGGAACAGACAGACACCTTAAGAAGAAGTGATAGTAATATAATGAATTATAGTCAATATCATAAGTTGATAATGTAAATTATAAAATTGAGTGATAAATTATTAAAGAAAAGGGGAGGGGGGGTGTTTCTTAATGGTTCCTTAATTCAATATATGTGTGAAAACAAATATGATTGGATATAGAATCATTAATTGTCTGAGATTCTCAATAGAAAGGAAATTATCTATTGCTTGAGAAATGTTATGATTATGTAATGAAAAGATTATATGAGAAATGTTATGGCAATTCAATGTTGAAAATGTAAGTTAAACTGTTCAAGAAATTGAGAAGATCATTAATGAAGGACGAGAAAGACTGAATGAGTTAATCTGGTTGAAATTAATTTGAGGTGGGTAGATAGTTTTTGTTAATGTAGGAATTAATAATAATGTAATACAGGAATGAAAGAAAAAGTAGATAAAGAAAGAAAAAGCAAAGAAATGTAATTCTATTCAGTATTATAGAAATTAAGAAGGGAAAATTAAGGCACATGCAAATTGATATATGCAAATTTGATATATTTTGATGTCGTGTTATTATAAATCAGAGCCACAACATTTTACAGTACTTACCAAAAACTATATTAAAATACCTGTTTGAATTTTTGTCTTATCAGTAATGTATTCGCCGATAAATTTCAATTATACCGATGGAAATTTTTTTATTTGGTCATTTTGAATGGCTACTAATTTATCATGAAACGGAATAATTAAAATAGTATTACGTCCTGATAAAGACAATCGACAAAAACAAATCACGCAATATGCTGATATTCTTTTGTTGTTATGATCCAATTCTTAGACGATTAAACATGGTTTCTGAACAAATTATCTTCGAGGATTTGCACTTATCTTTGGCAGGTGTATATGAATAACAATTACGAAATTATTTTCCTGTCGTCACTTTATTTTTTTGTGTTGAAGTACTTAAAAAAACGGACTATAAATGAAACTCATCATCATCACCATTGACTCTGAAAACCATAGTTGGCCGTTGGTCCAGTCGTCAGAGAGTTGACCCCTTAAAATCATACGGACAAGCTGAATTTTGAAGAGAATAATCCCAAAAAAGATGCAAACAAGTTTACCACTTTTACTCCAGGGCTTCCCTCTAAAATTCCCCTCGTAGAGGGGTAAAAACGCAAAAAAATCAATTTTCCAAGAATCTTTAAGCCGTAGAAAAAAATGTTTTGAATTTTGAATGTCAGTTCCACGCGCGAAATCACTGTTAAATAAAATTTGTATCAACACGACGGTAAAAAATCGATATCTTTGGATTAGAGTGTCCTATCGATAAAAATCAAAATGCGTTTTAAAGATGAAGAATGCAGCTTTCGTTTGCAGTTTTTGTGTTTTACCGCAAATGAAGTCAGTTTCTATAAAGCTGTTCAATAAATAAACTTTGCGCGATTTTTGCCATTTGTTACTATTTTCTTGAGGTCAATAAAATTTATTCAATTAAATATTCAATAAAATTATTTATTGAGGTCAACATAGAAGGTGGACATGGAGAAGCCCGGACGGGAGAACGCAAAATGAAATTGACTATATAATAACAGATAAAAAATTTATAGTTAAAGATGTCACTGTACTCAACAGCTTCACAACAGGAAGTGATCACAGAATGGTCCGCGCTAGAATAGAAATTAACATCGATAAAGAGAGAAATAAACTAATAAGAAAGAAAAAATTGAAAGCATGGTCACAACCAAAAAATGAAACAGAGTTTGCAGATCAAATAACGGTACGTCTGCAAAACAGGCCCCCCACAAATGATATAAATCAG